GAGGGTTAACACCAAGTATATCAGCCGCTCACAATGTTGGGGGAGCCCATACTGTGTAGGCCACAGACACAAATTATCATGAAAACAACTCCAATCCTCTTAATATGTGAAGGTTTAAAGAGTCATTGTTCTAAAAACAGTGACCATACATTAACAAAGATCTCAAGACAAAAATTTAAAAAACATAGCCAGTGAGAGGAAAAAGTATATAAAATGTATTGTGTCAGAATATATTTTAATACAGAATAACTGAACCTACTTACTAGAAATGTACCAAGTATCAAACACACTTAGACATCTACAGTCATACCATGTGTATAAGTTAATGATTTTATACTCAAAGGCTCACAACTAAATCACAAAGGTGATAAACTTAAACCACTGAATTATTGAGAACCAAGGATTAAAGATTGTTCTCAATTACTTACACTGTATTGGTAATCACACACTTTTCAGTTAGCAAAACAAATAATTTTAAGAGTAACCTTCAGGGGAATAAGCTCCAGGAGTTTAAAATACACCATGGCTTGTCCCATATGAAAATTGCACCTTGTAATCAAAAAGATAAAAAGAGCAGAATGATGAGACCATATGTCTTTCCTGGCTCTTTATCATACTCTCCATCTACTAATGGACATGAATAACTTATTGGATCGCCTGTAAGCTAGGAATTTGAGAGATAAATGTGATCCAGAGAATTCTCTTATCTACTTACCTATCAGTTCTTAAAGTGTGAAGAAATTTAATCTTTTTATAATAACCCTACTAAACGACTGTTCTGTGTCTGAATCATTATTTAATGATGCCAACACTCTGTTATATCAAATATAGAAATTGCCAAAGCTCTATAATTCATCAGGTAAAAAGAAACCTAAAAATAGACTCCAATTGATTACATTATTTATGAAGGTGAAACTTTTTTTAGCTAAGGGTAATTATTTTAATAGATGGCAGCAGCCACATAGAGCCAATTGCTCCAAGTGCTTGCTAATGAAGCACTGGCTCTTTCATTTATGTGGCATATGTGCTTCTCATATTCTAGAAAATTCACTGCCATTTTTTCCCCCCAAATATTATCTTTTACCCATTTTCTTTTCTCCTGGAATTCCTCCTACTGGTTACTGGATAATTCTCATTATACTTTTCATGTCTCAACTTCTTTTACATATTCTCTATTGCTTCATTTCTCTGAGCTGTGAGCAAGCTAAACTTTCAAGTTGGTCTTCAGTTTATACATTTACCAATCTAATCATATTATAAATCAAGCTTGAAATTTTTGCTTTTTAATTTTAGAGACAATATTTTTCATTCCTAATTCTATTTCTCCTTCTCAAATCTGCCTTTTTTAAAATAGTGCTTTTTTTCATATTTCAATTTCTCTTACATGTTAAGTCATTTCAGAAATACATTTTTATGTACCTAGTAGTTCCAGTTAACTGAAGTTCTTGGCAGTCTAGTCATGCTTTGTCATGCCTTTTGACTTTTGCTCCTAGGAGTACTTCCATGGGTGGAATTAAATTTGGGATCATGAACTCCTGATAAGTGGGACTTTATCTGGGAATCTTGTGTGGCCTGGATTAAAAAACTATTAATCCCAATGCTTAATGAGGACAGGACTTGAGAGCAAATTTTTAAGGGACTAGGCATTCCTATTCCCTTAGATTCCAAGTCAAACAAATAAATTGGCCTGTTATCAAATGGAATTAAGTTTCATTCATAGGCTGACAACTTTCAAATTTCTATCACTAAGCAAGACTTCACTCTAGAACGCCTATATCCAACTGATCTATTGAACACTTTCCTTTGACTGTCTAATAAGCATCTCAAACTTCACCACATCTAAAACCGAACTTAATCTTTCATTGCCTTTCCTCCCTCCCACCACAAAAGTCCCCACTCCCTATCACAGCTAGTCCAGTCTTCTAACTGTAATCCGGTGGGGCATGTGCAGCTTCAACTGTCACTGACCACTCTGAAGGCTCATGACATTTGGTCATTTTGCTTTCTTGACTTAAAGTTCAACTTACATTTAAAAGATTTACACTAAAATTATATATCCAATAGGGAGCCCCATGTGCTTAGATGGTCATATTGACCTCAAGTCATCAGGATTGACTTGAGCAGACTAAGGGACCCACTTAAATGACCTCTAGTTAGCTCTTGCTACCAGGATGCTTTAAGTCTGTTCCAATCAGTGCAATGCTATTAACATGGTTCAAGACAGCACACAGAAACCACCTCTAACCACCTGTACTTAACAGTCATGAATGTGGATATATCTTGGCTTTCAGATAACAATCATCACATGCTAATTAACTACAGTCTAGTTTTCTTAGTGGGGTATTCTTCTGAGTTTTGCTATGTCTCCCTTCTCTGTTATAAGTAGTATGGTAACTAGAACAGACCCAGCAGCACTCTAAGTGGGTGAATAGTACACGTATTGGCAGTGAAAACCAAAAGCAAGAAATGTAACAGGGAACTAAGAAGGCGCTGTGGATGAGATGCTGTTTGAACTGGTTCTTATAGAACAAACCCCATTTAGAAACCCTACTAGGAAGCAAAAGTAAGTAACACTTCCAACCAGGTGTGATATCTAGCACATCGTAGTCATTTAGATAACCTCCTTGTGCTTTACCTCTCACTTACTGGCCCAACAGATAGTCCGGAGCTCCTGCTATGAGACCTATTCTATTATCTATTCCATTGCCTTTGCTGGTCTCCCTCAAAGTATGGGAACTTCTCCCAAATTCCCAAGCTTATTTGATTAGGGTTCTTAAGTAAATACTTGCAGTCATCTTCCTGACCTCCTTACTTACCACCACTGGCAAAAGCAATGCAAGAATGACTATCTCCTGGAATCACAGCACAACTTTGCAATACTCTGAATTCTTTCCCATTGCCTAAACTCCATCAATGCTATTTTACAAGCACTATACTGGACTACTCAATACCAGCATTTGCCTGGATGACATCTGTGCCCACTCAGTCACAAATGGACAAGTTCTTGCCAGTGCTAGTCTCTGAACTCAGACAAGTCCTCCCAGGTCATAACTTTCCTTCTCAATTTGCTCTTCTCTCCTCTCTTTCCATTTTTAACACTTGGGTCACCATTTCTCAAACCAAAGCATATTACCGTATGTGAGGAATGCATCTGGTCACCTCTAAGTTCTATAAATCTGTCTAACAATTTTGGTTAAGTACTGGAGTCATCCTCTTTCCTCCACAAAAGTTTAATATGTTGCAGAATGAGTAAAGCATAGGAAAGGTTGCTGGAAGCTGTACAGCAGTCAATACCCAGGAGAGTTTACCACCACAGTTGGCAATGCCCAGAAAAAGGAAAAAAGGGAAAAGAAAGCAGCTGCCAGAAATGAATTGTTACTTCGTCCTTCTGCACTATGAGCATTGCAGCATACTTACCTATTCATATCCTGGCAAAGTGGTTGCTATAAACAATGGATTAATACAGCTTTACAGGTAGTATTGTAGATAATATTCTCTTAGTGAAAACAAGATTCAAATTCCCCTGGATCGCACAAAAAGCGGAGGAAAGGCATTGTCTCACTTCAAATTTTGTCCCAAAGATTACAGCGTACAACTTTTAAAATTGTATGTCTTTATAAAAATTTCAAACATATACAAAAGTTGTGAGGAAAGTTAACGAAATTACATGTACCTTTCACCCTACTTACACAACTGTCACCTGACTCATAGTCTTGTCTCATCTATACTGTCTTATCTTCTTATCTACCAACAGTTATTGTGAAGTTAATCCCACATGCACTATGTCATATGTCAATATTTCAACTCATACCTCTCACAGCTAAGATTCATTAAACCTCTAAAATGATAAATTCCTTGATATCATTAAATATACCATTTTCAAAGATCTTTTTTTATTTGCTTGAATCATAATAAGGTCCACACATTTGATCTCTTCAATTTCATTTAAACTAGGGGTTACTCTCCTTCCTCCTTTTCATCCCTAAAATTCATGTTAAAAAACGGGCCTGTAGAATTCCCCATACCCTACAGTCTGGGTTTACCAGTATATACTGCATGGCATCACTGAACACTATCCTTTCCCCTGTATTTCCTGAAAAATGGTAGTTATAGCTACAGTTTTGATCATATTCAGTTCAAGTTTCTAGCAAGACAGCTTCACAGCTGTTGCAGTGTCCTAACATCAGGAAGCATTTCTGAATTTCTCTTTCTTGTAGTATTAGCAACCATAAATGATCACTAGTAATAGCCATTATTTTATTAGAGATTGCAAAATGATTATACAGTGACATTCTATCATCTCTCCAATTTTGAGAGTTGAGATATGCCAATAATGAGAAATTTCTTCTCATAAATGTACTTATATGGTTTCATTCTTGTACATTAAGTGTACAGTGTATTTGTAATTTATCTTTTGTATAGTACAAACAATGAATCTAATTTTGTCTTACTTCATTATACACTAAATACCCACATGCAACTGTGCTTACAAGCTCATTTTCTATTCAGTTCTATTTGTCTTTTTACACACCACTACCACAGTTATTTATACAGCTTAAAAGTGTGTTTCAATTATCTAGTAGGGCTATAATCCTGCTCAACTGCTCTTCTTTCAAGAGCTTTCCTTATTATTCCTACTTATTTGTTCTTTCCAATGAAATTTATAATCAACTTGCCTAGAACCAGGAAATACACACACAGAGAATCACAAAGTCATAAGTTAATTTAAGTAGACTGACAGATTTATAATGTTGAAACTAAGAGCTAAGTATACAGACTAAAAGTTGGAAAAAAAGCTTTAAAATATTTTTCTATTTTCTGTTTAATGAAATGCTGAATCCAGGAAATGTTAGCTATATTACATGGGAAAATTTTATTTAAACAAGCTCAGATTAACTGCAGAGGAAAATAATTTATTTCATTGATATAATATTTATCATGTAGTACAAAAGTAACAAGGTGATCGATTAACACAAGGCATTAGTAGTATGCTTGCTCACCTTCCTTTTTCAGCCATTTCACGATGTTTCCTACTTCCATTGTAGGAGAAAGCGATGGCATCAGTATCTTAATAGGATCAGCTGAAATTGAAAAATGGAATGATTAGCCCACAAAAAAAAATAATGTATCTCATAGGTAATGGATTAAAATGTTCAAGTAGATTAATATCAAATTCAAAGAAGAAAATATCTCAATGTCTAACAGACTCTGAACTGGTCAGTAAAATTCTGACTTTTTAAAAAGAAAACTCTTTATTGGAATACTTTTAACTTCTTTTTTCATCATTCCTCAGTCCTCTATGCATATTTCCAAGCTAAGTCTTGCCAGATTGAAAAAATAAAGTTGACATGTTCCTTCTCCCTCCTCTTTGGTCACTTCAAGGTATACTTAAAAGTTAAATGACCAAAGAAAAAGACAAAGAAGAAACAAGGTTCTAAAAACACTTAAAATAATCAAGGGTAGACTTACAACAGAAAAATCAACATTAGGCATTAAGAAATGAGTTGTGTTTTTACGTTCCTCTAATATTAGACTATGCAATATTCAAAGGTTCTTTCAGGTGTATAATGGCAAGTTTGTCTTTTCAATGATGATGAAGCAGATGAACCTAGTGGTCCAGTTAATCTCAGATTGTGCCGCATACCATAATCCCACTGGGGATGCAAAAAGGTACCCTTTTTGGGGACCTCTCAAACTAGGGTTACCTCTCAGATATCAAAAAGGTAAATATGCTACACTCTTATTTGTCCAGATGTGCTTTCCAACAGTCATCCACTACCCAAGACCAGATGCACAGATCAGCACACAGCTGTTAGATGACAATTTATACAAAGTTTATATAAAATAGCTAACAGCAAGCGTCAGCACTAGCAGTAGCCATGGAAACAAATTGCACTCCCTGAAATCGTCCATTGAGCCTATTCTCGCTTCAGATTTTTCAACTCTCTGACCCCAGAAAGCAAAGCATCATAGCATATTAACATATCACAAGTGCAGAAAAGAGGACTTTTTCTTTTTTTTTTACCATATCTGGAGCTAATAAAAGTAGCTTACTAATCCCCTACATTATGTTATATGACTATCAACTCTGTTATATTTTTACATGACTTGTTGAAGAAAACAAAAACATTTATGAAAGTGTGTATAGACAGCTCAAATCTCAGCATTTAATTTTTTAAGCTCATAGACACAAATTGGGTTAATAGCAAACAACTGACCTTCTAATAGTACTGTAAGAGGCAAGCCTCTTCTTGTAAAGTATAACTTAAATGTCTCAATAGGCTACTTCCATCAAAAAATTCAAGCCTGGCATTGTGAGATGGAATATTTCATAATTATAAACATAATAAATATATATAAAATAGAGTTTCACTTCAAGGATATGAAATAAACGGACCTCAGTGATTTTATGGCCAGATTCCAATTTATGACAAATACTAAATTGATTCTCTCAAAACAAAATCTCTTCTATATTTTTATACCTTTGTCCTAGTTGCCAAGATATAACTCATATTTATTTTATGATTCTATCTCATATTATCATCTCTCACCTCTAAGACCCTCACATTTCCATTATCCATGACATTGAGGACTGTATTATGAAATTTTTGCATTTTTTATTATTTTCCAAATTATATCAAGAACCTCAAAATTTTTCATATTTTTAAAAATAAAAAGAACATAATCATTCCTCATATAGCTACCCTTCATGGATGAATTGAAATTGCTTCTCTGAATAATGACAATAAAATATAAAAAAATTTGTAATAGATCACTACCCTTACTCTGAAGTGAAGGAGACAAAAACCAAAGACAGACATTTTAGATGTCTCCATTACTCAGTACTACATCTTGATTGATTACACTGCTTACTATGGAAAGTAAAATGTGTAATGTATTTTCTGATTAATCTAACCAATCTATCCTTGGCCTCTCAAGCTACAGAAGCATTTCAAAATAGAAGCATTAATTTATTAATCATGGTTCATATTTCGTTCTAGTATATCTTCCTTTGACCGGAATATTATGTACATCTTTTTCCAAATTATTTTCCAGTGGAAAAGTAATTAAACATAACATCAGCTTTGAGTGACAGAGCTGCAGAAATTAAATTTGCCCTTCATGGCTGCTGTCAATTCTACTGAGATAACCGTGGGCTTTTCTAGACTTCTTGGAATTTTAACCTATACTTAATATTGCTTTATTTCATTTGAAATTAAATATAGCTTCCCTTTCCAATGCAGTACCTCTCTCCTGTCAAATTGAGGTGGCTTTGAAATATATGCCAATTATATTTTCTATTTAAAAAATCGGCACAACTATGGATAAGAATAAAGGAAATGTGTTCTTTTCCCTCACTTATCATACAGGTTATTTCAATTAGCACACGCACACACACACACAGCCCAATGCAAATTTAATTAAATTAACCTTTTTGTAATCATTTTAGTGTTCTATTCCTTTATAATCAAGCCAAGAAAGTATATCTAATGACTTACAAAGTCATGGTATGTACATTAGTTGATATTTAGACATACGGAATTTAAAAGCCGTTTCATAAATCGTGGCAATCCTTGATTTTTTTTTTTTTTTGGCCTCAATAGAATAACACACTAGATTAATTCTTTTGTTCTTTAGGATTCTGCAGCTTTTCCTGCCATATTGGGATCTATTGATCATTTTTTGGCAGTTTCTCAAAACAATGCCTACATTTCTTCAAATGTGCTTTTCCAGACTTTCTATATTTCTATAGCATAACTGTTTTCAACATCAAATATGACACATTAATCTAGTTTCTTATTCCCTAAAGTACTGCTTTTATCCTAAAAACAAAACACACTTCAGCAAGATTACATCAACGCTTTAAACTGATGATATATACATTGATTGTAAAGTCTCTAGATTTAAAAAAAAATTTAAAAGGATTAATACAAACAAACTTAAAATCCAAATGCAGAACAAACTGCTTTTTGGCACTATGAAACAGAGCTAAGTTCCATTACTGTGACTAAAGTAATGAAGGAAATCCAGCAGTTTACCTATGGTACAGTTTGAATTTCATGCTCTGGTCCATTTAGACAACTGTGATCCAAATATAAAAATTGCAAAATGAACACAAACAAATGAAGATGTTCCCAGAATGTCATTAGTGTGCTCACTGCTTCTGCATTAATTTGTGTCTTCTCTAACAGGGAGAGAAGCTGCTTATAGAATCACCTCTCTTTCCAATACAAGAACTTACAAAAGGAAATTGCACTTTTAAAATTTCAGTTCAAATAAAACAATTCTGCCACCTGCAGATGAGATGAAATAAAGCAGCATGAAATCCAGATAGTTTTAAAATCAACACCAGGACACTACAGCTTGAATAAAGGCATTTTAAGCAATGTTTTCTTTTTTTAAGTGCACGTTTATTATAAAAGTCTTTGTTTAAAAAATTATTTTGTTACGGTATTGGCGTAAGAACAGATTGAAAATGGGCAACAAAATGCATGCAGAACAGTTTGTGTGAAAAAGGCATTTACAGGTCTTAGCATGGTAACAGTCATAAAAGATACCTCCATAAACAGTATTTTGGGCACAATCCAATTTCTACCTGCTTAGCTTGTGTACCCACCAAGACAGAAATGATAAACTCCACAATGGTAATAGTAGTTAACTCTAGTTGGTGATATGTTTTCCAGTTCTTTGTATAATTCACATTTTAATAATTTTCTATGATAAATTTATCCCATTCCATTCCCTCCCCAAAGCCTACCTAACACTAATTAAAAAATGTACTTTTGTTATTTCAGACAGAAACTCACAAAGACAGGAAGAAAAGGGACAATGAGACACAGTTTTGAAAGCAGAAAATGAAACAGTTAAATAATAATTGACCAAAGAGACTCAAGAAAGCTGAATTCTAAGCCAGAAGTATGAAAGCTGGTTACACCACATAGAGATTTTCCTCAAGGCCTGGAGCTGGCAGAACTGAGGACCTGTGGAACTAGGAAGGGAAGAGATGGGTGAAAGCTATTAGAAACACAATTAGTCACCAGGATCACCTTCCTCCTTCCACCCTCATTCAGCAGAAGACTAAAGGTGGTTTCTCCTGAAGAGAGAAAATGACTGGACCTATGGGGAGGAGGGTCAACCTAAATACTCAGAGATATATAGAAACTAAAAAAAAGGTTAATTGAGATGTGACTGACAATACAGAAAATTGTGCTGAAAAGTTGTTAAATAGTATGAGTTGAATCAGCTATGGTTTCAGGGCAAACTAAAGAAAATTTAAAGAGTTAACAATGCCAGAAAAAAAGCAAAAAGTAGAAAGCTATCAATCAAGATATAGGATGATATGAGACGATCTTGTGTGCACAATGTTTAATGAATGTGAATAAATATGAATATGAATGTAAGCAAAAATTGCAAAATAACTACACTAGAAGGAAGGGGGTATATGAGATAGGAAAATAGAAACGGGCATAAGCCAGAGCATAAGCCAGAGCATAAGCCAGAAGAAAATTAAGAGACAAAACATGTGGCTTCTAAGGAAGAAGACAAACTAGTCAAGTAGGGTAAATCGGGCGAAGATCCACTGAAGGCTATAGACCTTCATGCATGTATTACTTTGTTAAACATTTATTTAACAAAATGTTTACCATTTTTAAGACTTAAGCTAAAACACCATGATGATTTGGAGACTTCATGCTGGAGTCAAGCTACCTTGGTTCAAATTATAGATCCACTACTTATAAGTTACTAAATCATTCTATGCCTCAGTTGCTGCTTTTATAAAATACAGTTTTCTAAGCACTAAATAAGATGACAAATGCAAAATCTTTTATGGTGCCTGGCAAGAGTAAGTCTCAAAGGGGTTAGTTATTCAGTACTGGTAGGCAGCATGGAAAGGGTAAAGGCCCTGAAAAAACCTGAGCAAGAAAGAGAAATTACCATCAACAAAAGGAAAACAAAAAGAATCTGAAATTGCTTGCAGTTCCACATACACAGCTAATGTTCAGTCTACAATTTACCCCCCCCCAATGCATATGCTTTGAGATGGTCAAAACAATAAACGTCATTAAAAAAAAAAAAAAAA